GCAAAGGGAAGCTTCCTCCTTTTGTTTCCAGGCGTGGTTTCCCATGTTGTTGGGATTGCACAGAGGAGGAGAAGGAGGAGATTTCCACTAACCATTGTGATAGAGTCAGAGGAAAATTACAAGCGTCATAAAAATGAGATTTTACAGCCGTTGCACAGCTCTCTCGCTCTCTTCCAGTACACACTGTCCAGCTGTTTGGCAAGTTTAAAACAGTATTTCTTGCTTCCACTTGCCTTCTTTCTAAGCATGCTTTGGCCCAAAGAGAGAAGAAAATGGGATGTTAGCCTGGACCACTTCCTTTTTTCTTAGGAGATATTCAGGCAGTGAAAATAATCAGGGTCGAATCTTTGTGGTTCACACGCATTTTGAATGCATCCGATTAAGTTTGGGGGAACTGCCAAGAAATCCTCTTCACCCAGGATAGACGATATTGGGTCCCCCCACCCCAGTATCTTTTTTTAAAGATTTGCATTGTCGGCAATGTGAATAACTGATGTGAACAGACCCGGGATAAGACTCTGCATGTCTTGAATGTGTTTTGAATATATTCGTATCATCAACTCCATCTCTATTCGAGTACCTGCACGTGTGAGCAACAAAAATCGCCGAGATACGGTTCCATAGTGTGAACAACAAACCTGGAATGTGTGAGTGAGATTATGCTCATTCACGCTAAAAAATGACGTCTGAATTACCCCTTAGGCTTTCATCGCATGATGCAAAGGATGCATGGCATAATATCGCAAGATATAGGGTGAGCTATTGGTGCATGGAGCCAGCATGGTGTAGTGGTTTGAGTGTTGGACTATGAATCTGGAGAGCAGGGTTTGAATCCCAGCTTGACCATGAAACCCACTTGGTGTCCTTGGGCAAGTCACACTCTTGCAGCCTCAGAGGATGGCAATGGCAAACTTCCTCTAAAGAAACTTGCCAAGTACATCCCATGACAGGTTCACTTTAGGGTTGCCCTAAGTCGGAAATGGCTTGAAAGCACACATCATCATCATTGGTGCATATGGTGTAGTGGTTTGAGCGCTGGACTATGACCCTGGAGACCAGGGTTCAAATCTCCACTCGGCCATGTAAACCCACTGAGTGACCTTAAGCAAGTCACATCATCTCAGCCTCAGATGGAGACACTGGCAAAACCTCTTCTGAACAAATCTTGCTAAGAAAACCCTGAGATAAGCTTGCCTTAGGGTCGCCATAAGTTGGAAACGACTTGAAAGCACAGAACAATAAATTGCAAATCTCCAAATTCAGTGGGATGGAGCAATGCCAGTTATAGTGGAATCATAGTGCTATAATTGTGGATTGCAAAAGCATTTCTGATGACGGAGAAGTGATTTCAGGGAACAATTGCTGCGAAGAACTGAGAATTGGAGGTTACAAGCAGCGTGGTAAGAAGCGGATGAAGGTGGTGGGTGAAATGATGATGATACCATTATCCCCATAATGTGGCCATTTTGAATGATGTGAGACTTAAGTATATGGAAAAGGAGCACAGAAGCCATTAGCCAAGATGGAGGGATATGGGATATTCTATAGCTCTTGGCTAACATTACATGTCCTTCGCTGATAGGGTCGCTTTGGCAAAAAAGAAAAATTAAATTAACAGCTAAAGGTTAATTCCATAAAGAGGAATTTAGGCTGGACAAAAGAACAGGAAAAACATTACAATGTTGTGAATCATCACTTGGGAGACCTGCAACTCTCAAACGCTACAAGAACCTATTCTGTGGACAAGGGAAGGAAGGAAGGAAGGATTTTGTCATCATGAAAAAAGGGGGAAACCTCATTATTTCCTGTCTGTTAAAAGTATTACGTAAGTTGCTTTGAATTTGTAATGGCACGGTAAAGTCAATGAACTGCACACGTTTCCAAATGCACTGAAGGCGATGACATTGATGCTTAGGCCCAATTAAATCCTTTAAATGCTTTCTTGTGTGTTTGAATGGCAAAAATTTATGAACTTATACGTTCATTCTTGAGACCAGCTCCATTTTTAGCTTCTTATCTTGTATTATTATATTATTATTATTGTTGTTGTTGTTGTTGTTTATTCTTCTACATTCAAGCAGGTCATGATCAGTGGAAACTGGCAGTGTACATATCACTCAGCTGCTGAATCCAAATTTTGGGGTTTAATCCAAATTTTAAAGGAGCTACTGAAGATGCTGTACACTACCCATGCTCCATTGTAGGTTAAGGAAGCACCTTGGATGGCTCTTTTCAAAGTACCAGTTGATACTCAGAGCTATTTCACCACCTTACTGTCTCAAGGTGCATCTATACTGTAGATATAATGTAGCTTGATACCACTTTACCTGCATGGCTCCATCCTACAGAATCCTGGAATTTTTGGCACTCTTTGGAAGAGAAAACTACGGACCTGATAAAACTACAAATTCCAGGATTCCATAGGATGGAGCTACCACAAAGTGGTGTCAAGCTTCATTATTTCTACAATGTAGACGCGCCCATGGAAGCTGCAGCTGGTCATTATGAAAAGCAAAACATCAATACAGTGCGTCCTTGGTATTCACTGGGGTCTGGTTCCAGGATCCCCCACATATACTAAAATCCATGGATGCTCAGGTCCCATTAAAGACAACAGCATAGTGAAATGGTGGCCCTTATATAAAATGGCAAAATCAAGGTTTGCTTTTGGGAATTTATATTTTTCTGAATATTTTCAAACTATTGATAGGTGAATTCATTTTGTTGTTTTTAATTGCCCTTGAGTCGATCTTGACTCATGGTGACGCTATGGATGAGATATCTCCAAGACCCTCACCTCTGTCCTCCCCTGCTCTGCTTAAATCCTGCAACCCCTTAATAAATACCCATGACCTCCTGAATAATAGAGTCCCTCCATCTAGCAGGTGGCCTTCCTCTCTTCCTACTTCTCTCCACCTTTCCCAGCATTATTGTCTTTTCCAAAGAGCCCTCTCTTCTCATGATGTCTCCAAAGTACGACAGCCTCATTTCGGTCATCTTGGCTTCCAGGGAGGTTCCCAGTTTGATCTGCTCCAGGACCCATTTGGTTGTCCTTTTGGCTGTCCTTAGGATCCTCAGCACTCTTCTCCAGCACCACATTCTCTCAAATGCATTGACTTTCTTCCTATCATCTTTCCTAACTGTCCAGCTCCCACACCCATCCATGGTAATAGGGAATATAATGGCTTGTATGATTCTAACTTTTGTTCTGAGTTGTATATCTTTGCATTTTAGGATTTTTTCTAGTTCTTTCATAGCCAACCTCCCCATTCTTTGTCTTCTTCCGATTTCCTGACTTTAATCCCCATTTCTATTAATGTTTAATCCCAGGTATGAGAACTCTTTTACTATTTCTATTTCTTCATTGTCTAGGTTGAACTTATAAAGGTCCTCGGTGGTCATTACTTTTGTTTTCTTTATGTTGAGCATTAAGCCTGCCTTTGCACTTTCTTCTTTGATCTTCCTTAGCAGTTGTTCCAAGTCTGTGAGGTTTTCTACTAGTATTATGGTATCATCTGCATAGTTCAGATTGTCGATATTCCTTCCTCCTATTTTCACTCTTCCATGGATACTTTAAAAAATTATTTTAAGAGCTAGTCCATAAATTTGTCCACTCTTCCTTTTCTTCCCTCACAGCAATGCACAACTTTTCCAAACTTTGGCAGTAAATTAACCTCTGACCTGATAGCATCTCTGTTTTCTGATTGATGAAGTGTCTTGTATGTCTTTTGCAGGAGAAAGGAATATGGCTGGCATTGTGGGAGCTGCAATATGGCCAGACCCTTGTTGTTGATGTTTTTGTTATTTTATTTATTTATATCTCACCTTCATCCCAGTATAGGGACTCAAGGTGGCTTCCCTCTGCAGCAAAGATATTTTCTACGAAGGGTTCGGGGAGTTCAGACTGCACCAGGTGACATCTTTTTGTTTGGGGGGGGGGGTGACCACCCAGTGGGATGGTCACTCCCTGTCCATCCCAAGACCACCACATCAGCTGTTCCCCTGCACCAGCCAAGGTGCCTCTATTGTCCACTGGCTGGGGGTGCTATTGCCATCTGGGACGAGGCTGTTGGCCAAGCAAGGACAAGAGGTGATGGCCGCATGGGTGGCCACAAACATCTTCCCTTTTCCTTCCTCTTCCACCTGGCCAGGAGCCTCATGAGCCCCAAAGGTGGCTGCCGGGCAGTGGCAGAATCTCTACCAGTGGTCACAATGGACTGTCTTGCCCTCCATTCCTACCCAGAAAGAAGCACAGTAGGAGGGAAGTGAAGCCAAGGTGAAGCAGAGTGGTGAGCCAGGCACCTGGGAAAGGTGTGGCAGGGCTGCTGGCTATGTGGGAAAGGGAGGCGATGGGGGCAAGGGTGGCCATGGACTCCTTGACTTCTCCTTTTGTGGAAGGGAAGGAGTTCATGACTGATGCCACTACCACAACCACTGGTGCTTCTTTTTCCTAGTCTGGCCAGCAGCCCAGCCAGACCCAGAAGAGGCCAGGTGCAAAAAGCATCCCCATGCCCACCAGCGGCGAAAGCAGGTAGATGGCACAGATGTCAGGGTGGCAGATGGGAGTGTGCCAGGCACCCTGGGGGTGATACCATGAGTTACCATATTGGGTAGTGATGCCACTGGCTAGCGTGAGACTAATAGTTTTATGGGTCTGGGAGAAAGAAGAATGGGACAAACCCAAAAGATTTGGGTGAGTTCACCTGAGATTTTGTAAACTTCCACCCTGAGCTGTGCAGGTGAAAAACAAAGTCATGAGTAATGTTGCTGGAAACACTGGGTTAAAAAACAATCTGAGACGTATTCGGAAGAAGCTGTGGAAATCAAGTAGGTCATGACTGTTGTTGTTGTGTGTTTTAAAGTCATTTCTGACTTATGGCAATCCTAAGGTGAACCTATCATGGGTTTTTACCTGCCAGGATTTGTCCAGAGGGGGTTTACCTCTGCCTTGCTTTGAGGCTGAATGTGACTCTCCCAAGGTCACCCAGTGTATTTCTGTTGCTCAGCCAGGATTTGAACCCTGATCTCCAGAGTCGTAATCCAACACTCAAACCACTATGCCATGCTGGATCCACCATACATTATTTATTTATATGTTAATTTAATTCCTTTCCTGCCTTTCTCTGAGCATGGATCCAAGATAGCTTACAGACCATATTAAAACAAAGTTTTCCTTGGCTGAGTAGGAATTTGAACCCTGGTCCAACACTCAAACTATGACACCTTGCTGGCTCTTGGGTTTTTATTGGTGAGATTTAATCACAGGAAGTTTGCTCTTGCCTGCCTCTGAGGCTGAGAGAGTATGACTTTGCTCAAGGTCACACAAGAGAGTTTCCATGACTTAAGAGGAGATTTGCACCTTTGTACCACAGTTCTAGTCTTATTGCCAAAGCCAGTTTGGTGCAGTGGTTTTAAGTGTTGGACTGGGATTCTTGGAGACCAGAATTTGAATCCTCATTCAACTATGTAAACCCACTGGGTGACCTTGGGCAAGTCCCACTCTCTCAGCCTCAGAGGAAGCAATTGCACACTCTCTGAATAAGTCCTGTCAAGAAAACCCTATGATATGGTTGCCCTAAGTCAGAATTGTTTTTAAGGTCATATTTCAGAGGAAGGATCATGCAAAACCACCTTGGGGGATTCCTTGCCTAAGAAAACTCTATGAAATTCAATGGGTCGCCGTAAGTCTATAGGTGACTTGAAGTCATACACGCACACAACAAGAACAACACACATACGCACACATCATTAGAAGAGCCTTCTACAATAGCCAGTTAAGTCACTCAAAGCCGATTGAAAGCCTTGTCTTTGCAAATTTAATCCCCAGCACTTTTAAAACCAGAGACGAGGATCATGCATCCTTTTTAAACCCTCCCAACTGCAAGTTCCAACATTCTTCAGCACAGGGCAGGCTGACCAGGGCAGATGGGAGGTGCAGTCCCACCTCTGGTTTAAAGGCTGGCCAAGGGTGATGAATGCTGCAGAAGATGAGGAGGGGCAAATTAGGAGTAGCAGCCAATACCCCAGAGGACAGGATCAAAATGCAAAATGATCTGAATAGTTTAGAAAGCTGGAACAAAACTTACAAAATGAATTTCAGCAGCGAGAAATGTAAGGTACTGCACTTAGGGAGAGAAAATGTAATGCACAGATATAGGATGGGGGTGGCTTAAAAAGATTCCATGTGAAAGGGATCTAGGAGTCCTAGTAGACCACAAGCTGAACATGAGTCAACAGTGTGATGCAGCAGTTAAAAAGGCCAATGCGATTCTAGGCTGCATCAATAGAAGTATAGTGTCTAGATCAAGGGAAATAATAGTGCCACTGTATTCTGCTTTGCTCAGACCTCACCTGGAATACTATGTCCAGTTCTGGGCGCCACAGTTCAAAAAAGATGTAGAGAAACTGGAGTATGTGCAAAGTAGGGCGACTAAAATGGCGAAGGGTCTGGAAACCATGAAGCCCTATGAAGACTGATTTAGGGAGCTGAGTATGTTTAGCCTGGAGAAGAGAAGGTTAATGGGTGATATGATAGCCATGTTTAAATATTTGAAGGGATGTCATGTTGAGGATGGAGCAAACTTGTTTTCTGCTACTCCAGAGACTGGGATGCAGAACAACGGATTCAAGCTACAGGAAAAGAGATTCCATCTCAACATTAGGAAGAACTTCCGGATGGTAAGAGCTATTTGACGGTGGGAGATGCTGTCTTGGAGTGTGGTGGAGTCTCCTTTTGGAGGTTTTTAAACGAGAGCCTGGATGGCCATCTGTCGGGGATGCTTTATTTGTGAGTTCCTGCATGGCAGAATGGGGTTGGAATGGATGGCCTTTGGGGTCTCTTCCAACTCTAGGATTCTATGATTCTAAGATGAATTTGGGGGAGTAAACATGAGGAGCAATGCTTCTGCATGCATACACAGACACAGCCCGCTTCCAGCAGATTTGTTTTCGGTCAACAAGATTTCTCTTTGAAGCCCTTCTTCCACAGTCATCCAGACAGCCCTGCTGCCGCCTGTTATTTGCAATTTCAACCAGCTTCTGTTTACCAACCCTGCTATTTACAATCTCTCACACTTCCTCTTTTGTTTCTTATAGACTCTCGGTCAACATCTTTCTCTCCCCACTTGTTTTTAAGTATTAATCAGATTTTTCTAGAGATGCACTATATGTAGAAATGATATCTCCTTCTGCTGTTTTCAACCTTTAGACTTTACACTCTTTTTTTAGTATTATTAATTTTTAAAATGAGCAATTTAATTTACTTTTTAAAATTACTTTTTATTATGAGTTGATCGCATTTATCTGTTGCTTATTTCATATCAGACAAACATACGGTAGATAACCTTTCTTATAATAAAAAGAATACCTATATATTTTTATTTTTTATATATATTTTATTTTGAAAATACAAACATACATACATGCATACATACATAAAATACATAAAATACAAATACCGACCTACATACAAACATAAATAAACATATATATATATATATATACAAACAAAAGCATTCTCACCATTATATATACTTACATACTTGCTTACACTCAATTTATTGATGCTTACATTCCTTTCACACATGATCTTTCATTCTTCTTTTTTAATTCCATCATCTATTCTGATCTTGTAGTTGATATTGACCTCCTCATCTCACCTCCTACAACCTTCAATTTAAGTGTGACCTTAATTTATAAGTTATCATTATGCATTCTTCCCCTCCTTTTTCCCCCTCTTTTTCCTTTTTCATCTCTATACCTTATTTGATTAGCCCATTTTTCAATTTTCTAATTTCCTATAAAAAATTAAAGATCTCTTATTTTCCAGTATTCCTTAACGGATAACCATTCTTCCTCTATTTCTTCTTTTGGTTTGTCTTTCAATAATGTTGTTAACGTATCTAGTATCATTGCTTCTTTCATTTTATTCTCCCATTCTTTTATTGTTGGTATATTGCTTTGTTTCCAGTATCTAGCATATGTAATTCTAGCAGTAGCTACTATGTATTGTATAGTAATATTCTTCTGTATTTTTTCCCCACTTCTGGCTCTATCATGCTCGTCATATTCAATAGAAAAAATGTTGGGTCTAATGATATTGATACCTTTAGCATTCCAGTTGTCTCCTCTTGAATTCTTTTCCAGAATTCTTTTGCCAGCTTACATTCCCACCACTGATGAAATAGCGTTCCTCTTGTTGATTTACACTTCCAACATTTTTCACTCCCAACACTATAAATTCGATTTAATACCGTTGGTGTCATATACCAGCGGTAGAAGATCTTTAAATAATTTTCTTTATAATCTTGACATAGCGTGTATTTATTGGTGTTCTTCCATGAGCTTTCCCATTCTTCTAAATTGATATTTTCCCCGATATCTTGAGCCCATTGAATCATAACTTGTTTCACTTGCTCTGTCTCTAAATCTCTTTCTTTAAGTATTTTATAGTATTTTGAGATATGTTTATCTTTTCCCCCAAACATTACTTTATCTATTAAAGATTCATCTTTTGTAATCCCATTATTTCTACTGTCAGTTTTAAATCGTTCTTTCATTTGTCTATAGTGAAACCAATTCTTGCCAATTTTATTGATTAAATCTTCCTCTTTTTTTATTTCAGCTTCCTTTTCATTCTTCCATTCCAGTAAATCTTTATAGGTTAGCCATTGATTCTCCTCCCTCCTAGAAGTTCCCAGAAAAGCTTCCTGGACCAAAACCCAGCTTGGGATTTGACTATAAAACTGATATTTGATTTTCATCCATACTTTTAAAAGGGAGTTTCTAATAATATGATGTGAAAAGTCTTTGTTGGCATTTACCTTGTTATACCAAAGAAATGCATGAAATCCGAATCTCATATTGGGTTTTTCTAATGCCAATAGCCTTTCATTCTTAAGTGTGCTCCATTCCTCTATCCACGTTAAGCAAGCCGCTTGATGATAAAGTTTTAAATTTGGGAGCCCACATCCGCCTTTAATTTTATCTTCCGTCAATAATTTCCATTTTATTCTTGATTTTTTCCCTTTCCAAATAAACTTTGACAGTTCTTTCTGCCAGTTCTCAAAATATTTATTATATATTTTTATGTATATTTTAAAAACTTTACAATTATCAACTTCCTCCCCCCACTGGCTGAACTTATTTCTTTATGCTTTTATGTTGATATTTCTAAATATATATTCTTCTCTTTTATAGAATTTCCATAGCTTCCTTATAAAATTTAGCAGATTATTTTAGCAATCTGTTCTCACTTTATTTGATCTCAGACATATTCTGTTAGTTTTGGAATTCATCATGTTCCTTTGCCTTTCTCTCTCTTTCTTTTTCTTCTTTCTCTTCTTCTTCTCTCTCTTTTTATTTTTTTAAAGTTTATTTCTTATTAGCAACACTGATGTATGAAATTTATTATTTCATTCATTTCTTTCTATTCTCTGTATACCTAACCATTTATTCAGCCAGGCTTTTTTGACTGATTTCCAATCTTCTTCGATATGATGTATTGAACAATCTAATTTACAATCAAAGTAATATACAATCTGAAAATAAAAAGACAGAAAGAAGACAAGGAAAAAAAGGGGAGGGGGAAGAAGAAAAAATGAATAGAATAAAAAGTCATATAACTAATACACAATAGAGCTCTAGATCCCCCTGACTATAATGGGGGATGGGGGGAATTTAAAAAGAAAAGAAAATTCTATCCTTGCAAAGCCAACTAAATAATCCTACTAAAATTACCAAAAACCATAACCATAAATTATTATGCTGTTAGATTTCTTATTGCTCAAAAAAGTCATAAATGGTTTCCTAATCTTTAAAGAAGCCTTCAATTGGCTTATCCTTTAGAACCCATATTAATTTGGCCATTTGGGCTAACTCTGCAACCTTAACAAAGCATTCCTCCATCATCAGTGCTTCAGTCCATTCCCATGTTTGAGCAAATAATACAGTCGCTCCTCTGTTTTCACAGACTAGAAGTCTGTGTCCCTTGCCTGTTCGCAGGCGGCAAACGGAGGGGGACACAATGGGGCGCGCGTCACCATTCAAGCCTATGGGGCCTGAATATTTGC